GGGTGACAGGGCAAAAGTTGGACCATGGCTTTGGAGGGGATTCTTGGCAGGGGAATTCCCCAATCTGCCCATCAGTGGAGCCTCCCCGATGGAAAGAGATGGATTGTTCCACTAACAAAACCCACATCAAAATTAAAAGTGAAGAGGACTTTGTTTGTTTGTTCCTGCTTCTTTCCCCTGCACTTCCTTTCTCCCCTCCCTGAAACGTACAGTAGTCAAATATGCACATTATCCTAAATCTTTGGTCTACTTATTTCCTGAACAGTTTCCACAAAGTTGAAAGGAGTAATCACCTATATTAGAGATGGTCTCTGCGGAGCTGTAAAAGTCAAATTGGAAACAAGAGCACGGCTCATCCTATCAGCCTTGAGGTAATTTGGTTTAATCACAAAAGGAGACACTGTCTAAACGCAGAATGATTTCCAGCCCCCCAGTGGCGAAGGGGACCCATTCCCTCAGGGTTCGTGGAAGCGAATGAAGAACGCTGAGTGGGGCTCTGTGCCAAAACAACCTCTTTTTTAACATCTCCTCTCAAAATACTGAATATTCCTAGTAGTTCACGGGTATTCTGGTAATCCTAAAGGAATTGGTGTTATGAGAACTGAATGGCAACCTTTGGTTGCTTACACAGCCTGAACTGAAACTGCCCAACAGTTAGGGATAAGCAAATCTGTCAATTTTTGTTGTTCTCAGTATCTCATTTGTGTGTTCAGACCCAGAAACCTCCCCCCTAAATAAATTCACACTTGACTCAAATTTTGGTTTGGTTTTGGGCAGAATTTAGGCCACAACTTTATTGATTACAGAAAGTGACTGGTTGCATGGGCTCTGGTTCGACTAGCTCCCTGCCATGCAGGTAGCGCTGACCCAAGGTTCCAGAACAGGTCAGCCAAGGGTGAACACCTGGATAAGCGGAAAGCCGAGAACAGGCTATCTCTGCCACCCAAATGTCCCCCTGGACTCAGGCATGGGCACAACCCCCTCTTGGGGGTTGACCAAACCATCAAGTCCCTGGATTCTTTTAACGGAATACCCTTCACATAGGGATGGCAAGAGCGTTCTCCCATCCCTATCACCTGAACCAGAGCCTATTTGCAACCTTACAAGTTTTGACGATTTGCTAAGTGGCAGGCAAAACCCAAATGGCAACAGCCAATCTGCCAAGTGGGGAAAATTCCTGCCGTGCCCCTGTCCCAATGACAGATGACACACGACGGCATAGCAAGGTCAAGCGCAAAGCCCTAAAAGTAGAGAGAGGTGGGCGGGTGTTCCTAATACACGCGCCGAAAGAGGAAGCTCTGGGTCACGTGCATGGGCATAATTAGGTCCCTCGAACTGTTTGGGCTGCGTCCCATTGGCCAGATTGCACCCAGCTACGAGGGACCTACCAATCGGGTGATGTGGCTGACCAATCATACCCACCCACAACACAGGGAGTCGGTTTCCAGGTCTCACCGGAATACATGCCCTCTTTATGGGAGGACCCGATTTTTCCAACCTTAAGCTCAGTTCTCCACATTTACAAAGCGGCTTTCAATTTGTGTGTGAAATTCTCTCAATGCACACATTTTCATACACAATCCCCCCCCCCATTATAATTCCTTTTTTGTTATTTTCCACCAATATTTGCATTTGTATGCACCCTTCACCTGAGTGGATGCTCTTTTGTACACATAACTAGTCTGGAGAACGGCACTGCAAAATTTAAAGAACTGTGAATTTCAAAGGATGGTTGTGTTTTGGTCCACATATTCTTTCAAAAAGTGTGAATTTAGTAGGTTCGTCTTTATGTGTGAACTCAGTCAGATTTCCCCCTCCAGCCCTGCCAACGGCAGATTCATGTGAAGTTTCTGTTTGAGCAAGGCAGGCAGAATGTTCATATCATCCAATATTTCTACAGCAAGATGGGCTGGATCCAAATGCTTCTTTCCTTGGTCAGAAGGAACCTATCTCAAAAAAAAAAAAAAAAAGGAAGTTAATACCTACCTTGAACTGTACTAAATTCAGACACTCAGACCTGGGCAAACTGACATTTTAATTGGAGAAATGTTGGAGTGTATGGAGTTATCCGACTCCCGAGCTGTCTGAAGGCAATTCTGTATAGATAAGCTTTTATAATGTTTAAAGTCTCATTATGTTTTTTATATGTGTTGGAAGCTGCCTCGAGTGTCTGGGGCAACCCAGTAAGATGTGTGGGGTATAAATAGCAAAATTATCATTATGGAGTGGGGAGTCCCTGTCAGTTTGCATTTCATAGTGCAGAAAGTATTGATCTGATGTGTAGAGATCTTTCCTATTCTAATTGATTCATGAGGGTTCTGGAAGCTTCTCTGTGTGAAAGAAACAAGCAGAAGGTTCATGATGTTTGGGTTATTCCTTCAGAGAAGCTGGAACTGGTTCTGTTATTTCTTTCACTCAAGGTCACGCTGCCTGGGTTTCAGTTTATCTTTTCCTTTCTGGTGTGGTGTTCTGTAACACATAATATGCTTAGTGTTAAGGTTTAGTCTTATTATAAGTTAATAAGTTAAATCTGCTGCAACTGGATTTCTTATGTGCCAATCCTGAATATATTGGATTTGTGACCATTTTGCTCATTTGTCTTCAGTAGCAGTCAAGCTCTGCTGGATGAAATACAATTGCCTCTGGTCTATTTGGGGGGAATCCTGCAACGTATTTAAGTTTTTACTCTGCTAACTATACACTGGAATCTGCTCTGGATCAATACGGTGGTACCTCCCACCAGATGTCAAAGAGAAAAATAACTACCAAACTTTTAGAAGACATCTGAAGGCAGCCCTGTTTAGGGAAGCTTTTAATGTTTAATAGGTTAGTGTATTTAAATGTTTTGTTGGAAGCCGCCCAGAGTGGCAGGGGAGACCCAGCCAGATGGGCGGGGTATAAATAAATTATTATTATTATTATTATTATTATTATTATTATTAACCTTGGTTCTCAAACTTAATCCGTTCCAGAAGTCCGTTCCAAAACCAAAGCGTTCCAAAACCAAGGCACGCTTTCCCATAGAAAGTAATGCAAAACGGATTAATCTGTTCCAGACTTTTAAAAACAACCCCTAAAACTGCAATTTAACATGAATTTCACTCTTTAACAAGACCATTGATACATAAAATGAAAGCAATAAACAATGTACTGCAATCAATCAATCAATCAATCAATCAATCAGTAGCTGAATTGGGATCCACACAGTCACAAAAGCAAAAGAAAAAAGCTGCAAAAACAAAAATGCAAAATAAATAGCAAAAACAGACAGACGTCTGCGTAACACTCAAAACGGAAGAGTGGCACTCAAAACGGAGCACATTCGGCTTCTGAAGAAAGTTCACAAACCAGAACACTAACTTCTGTGTTTGCAGTGTTTGGGTTCCAAGTAGTTTGAGTACCAAGGCGTTTGAGAATCAAGGTACCATGGAGTAGAATTCCATGACAGTCCCTATTTTCATCGGATAAATGTTGGAATGTTGCACTCAGCTCCTGCTTATGGATAGCAGTATGCTGGTCTAGATAGGACCCTGGCCCGACCCTGCAGGCCTCTTATGTTCGTAAGACATTTTTTCTTCACTGCTGCGGACGGGTTGCTAAAGAAAGGCAGCTGTGTTTGTTTAAAGTAGGGGTGTGTGTGTGTGCGCGTGCACACACACACTCATGATGAAAGCAGTTTCTAGTATTCCAAAAGTCCACGGTATGCAGAAAATGGGCTCTTTGCCAAATGGGAATTGAAACGAGTCTACGTATTACACTATTTGCCTTAGAAGAAATTAATTTTCAGCTAGAAGCAGATAGGCTTATTTAATATTTATCTTTAGCTGCAGGAAGATGAATCTATTATTTTATAAGTTTATTTTGAGAGGGTATTTTTCCCCCTTCTCTCTCCTTTCTCTCCGCATGGACTTCTCAGCTGCCAGGTTCCTGTAGGAGGCGCTGAGGTATTCTTACCTGAACTGGGTTAAAAAAATAAAAATAAAATCTGCAATGCATAGCTTCTAACACGGGTTGCGGCCGTTCTCCCCCAGCTTGACAAAAATAATAAAATAAATCTGTACGCTTTAAAGTCTCCAAGGTGATTGGAAGTTTAACAAATGAGAATGGGAGACAGGAAGGACAGCAAAATATCCTCAACACCCTGCTGTCCTCCGTGTATTTAGCTGCAAAGTTAATGTATTTCCAGCACTGAAACAAAGCAAACGAAAACCAAAGGGTGCCCTAACGTGACTGATTTAGCGCTAGTGGAAGCAGGGCAGAAACCCACAAGCAGTGCATAGTCTTTATGTCTAGTAGCCATTGACAGTCCTCTCCCCCAAGAATTTTTCTAATTATTTTATTATTCCTGCATTTGGGGTCCCTTCCAACTACAAGTTTATTATTCTACGATTCTAATTATTTCAAATATTTTTGAATGTTTTAAATAGCTGTTTATAATTACTGATAGTTTTATTCTTTTATGCATTTTGGAAACTTCTTTGAGGATTTGTTGCCATCAAACATTTTAGAACTATTGTGAAATCAATTTATTATTATTATTATTATTATTATTATTATTATTATTATTATTACCACCACCAAATTACAGAGATGTCCAATTATTTATGTGGGCTTTAGTTGATTATTCTGTCAATTAAATTTGTGTAAATATGAAAGGGGGGATTTCTGAGGCAAGAGCATGTATTTTTTAAAATTAAACTCTGCTGCCTAATTAATCTGAGCATCATTTATGGACAATTATTCCTTTAAACTAGGGATAGCGAGCATCATGCCCTTCAAAAGTTGCCTCCATTAGCATGACTGATGGTCAGAAATTATGGGAGTTCCACAGTATCTGGAGGACATCATGTAGTATGTAGTAATGGTAAACATGTAGAGCCCTATCCAGCTAATGTGTTGGTTTTTTGTCAATGCAAGGATTTCCACTTGTGCAATGGAACTTCCTCCTTCTTCCCTCCTCTCCCCACATTTGTCCTGTGGTCTCATCCAGTGGGCCTGACAAGATGTCTCGGGAAGTGTGCTGTCTCCCCGGGGCTAAGATCCAAGATGTAACTGAACGACTGCAAGGAATCATAAAACCCACTGACAAATACCCCTTCCTCTTGGTTCATGTGGGAACCAATGACACTGCAAGCAATAGCCTCCAGAAGATCAAAAGAGACTACGAGGCTCTGGGCAGGAAATTGAAGCAATTAAATGCACAAATTGTGATCTCATCTGTCCTCCCAGTGAACGACGTGGTCCAGGGAGAGAGGGGAAAATAGTGGAAGTGAACAGCTGGCTTCGCAAATGGTGTAAACAGGAACGGTTTGGATTCTTAGATCACGGACTGCAGTTTCTTGAAGATGGACTTCTGGCAAGCGATGGGCTGCACCTCACAACGGTTGGGAGAAATGTTTTTGCCAAAAATCTCAGAAACCTCATCAGGAGGGCTTTAAACTGACTAATGTGGGGGAGGGAGACAGTGCTCCTGAAGGTAGGAGTCTATCAATTGATGAAGATGATCATCCAAATGTCATAGACCAAATGGAGCAAACAGCACACAGACCTAGTGGTGGGAGGAAAAATCCTTAAATAAGAGTCACGGGGAATGATTAATGGACTTCAATGTCTGTACACTAATGCGCAAAGCATGGGAAATAAACAAGATGAGCTTGAGCTCTTGGTACAGCAAACTAAATATGACATAATAGGCATCACTGAAACCTGGTGGGATAAGTCCCACGATTGGAATGTAATAATGGGGGGATACAATCTATTTCAGAGAAACAGACCAGACAAGAAAGGAGGAGGAGTGGCGTTATATGTCAGGGATGTGTATACCTGTGAAGAGATCCAAGATTTAGAACCTCAAAACCAAAGTGAGAGCATTTGGGTCAAAATTAAGGGAGAGAAGAATAACAGTGACCTCATTGTGGGAGTTTACTACAGATCCCCAAGCCAAACGGAGGACATAGATGATGCCTTCCTGGAACAGATGGCCAAGCATGCAAAAGGAAGGGAGATAGTAGTAATGGGGGACTTCAATTACCCGGATATTTGTTGGATGTCAAACTCAGCCAAGAGCATAAGGTCAAACAGATTCCTCACTGGCCTTGCAGACAACTTCATTGTCCAGAAAGTGGGAGAAGCAACAAGAGGAACAGCCATTTTAGATCTGGTCCTAACCAATGTTGATCACCTGGTTAGTGGGGTAGAAGTGGAAGGATCATTAGGCGCAAGTGATCATGCTCTTCTGAAGTTTACTATACAGCGGAAAGGAGCAGCCAAGCATACTAGGACTCAATTTCTTGACTTTAAGAAAGCTGACTTCATAAAACTTAGGGAAGTGCTGGGTGAGATCCCATGGACAGTAATACTAAAAGGAAAGGGAGTTCATGATGGCTGGGAGTTTGTTAAGAGGGAGATACTAAAAGCACAACGTCAGGCAATACCAATGAGACGGAAACATGGAAGGTGCCTAAAGAAGCCAGGGTGGCTATCTAAAGAACTTTTAACTGAGTTAAGATTAAAAAAGGATGTGTACAAACAAGGGAAAAGGGGGGAAACCACCAAAGAGGAATTCAAACAACTAGCCAGCACGTGTAGACACAAAGTCAGAAAAGCTAAAGCACAGAATGAACTCAGGCTTGCTAGAGAGGTTAAAAGCAACAAAAAGGCTTTTATGGGTATGTCCGTAGCAAAAGGAAGAACAAAGAAACAGTGGGGTCACTCAGAGGAGAAGATGGTGAAATGCAAACAGGGGACACAGAAAGGGCTGAACTCCTCAATGCCTTCTTTGCCTCAGTCTTCTCCGATAAAGAAAACAATGCCCGACCTGAAGAATTTGGAGCAAATGATTCAGCAAAGGAAACACAGCCCAGAATAACTAAGGACATAGTACAAGAATACTTGGCTAGTTTAGATGTATTCAAGTCTCAAGGGCCAGATGAACTGCATCCAAGAGTATTAAAAGAACTGGCAGATGTGATCTCAGAACCACTGGCAGTCATCTTTGAGAATTCCTGGAGAACAGGCGAAGTCCCGGCAGACTGGAGGAGGGCAAATGTTGTCCCTATTTTCAAAAAAGGGGGAAAGAGAGGACCCAAATAATTACCGCCCAGTCAGTCTGACATCAATACCAGGGAAGATTCTGGAGCAGATCATTAAGCAAACAGTCTGTGAGCACCTAGAAAGGAATGCTGTGATCACCAACAGTCAGCATGGATTTCTGAAAAATAAGTCATGTCAGACTAACCTGATCTCGTTTTTTGACAAAATTACAAGCCTGGTAGATGAAGGGAACGCAGTGGATGTAGCCTACCTTGATTTCAGCAAGGCATTTGACAAGGTGCCTCATGATATTCTTGTAAAGAAGCTGGTAAAATGCGGTCTTGACTATGCTACCATTCAGTGGATTTGTAACTGGCTGACTGGACCGAACCCAAAGGGTGCTCATCAATGGTTCCTCTTCATCCTGGAGAAGAGTGACTAGTGGGGTGCCACAGGGTTCTGTCTTGGGCCCGGTCTTATTCAACATCTTTATCAACGACTTGGATGATGGACTCAAGGGCATCCTGATCAAATTTGCAGATGACACCAAATTGGGAGGGGTGGCTAACACCCCAGAGGACAGGATCACACTTCAAAACGACCTTGACAGATTAGAGAACTGGGCCAAAACAAACAAGATGAATTTTAACAGGGAGAAATGTAAAGTATTGCACTTGGGCAAAAAAATGAGAGGCACAAATACAAGATGGGGGACACCTGGCTTGAGAGCAGTACATGTGAAAAGGATCTAGGAGTCTTGGTTGACCACAAACTTGACATGAGCCAACAGTGTGACGCGGCAGCTAAAAAAGCCAATGCAATTCTGGGCTGCATCAATAGGAGTATAGCATCTAGATCAAGGGAAGTAATAGTGCCACTGTATTCTGCTCTGGTCAGACCTCACCTGGAGTACTGTGTCCAGTTCTGGGCACCACAGTTCAAGAAGGACATTGACAAACTGGAACGTGTCCAGAGGAGGGCAACCAAAATGGTCAAAGGCCTGGAAACGATGCCTTATGAGGAACGGCTAAGAGAGCTGGGCATGTTTAGCCTGGAGAAGAGGAGGTTAAGGGGTGATATGAAAGCCATGTTCAAATATATAAAAGGATGTCACATAGAGGAGGGAGAAAGGTTGTTTTCTGCTGCTCCAGAGAAGCGGACACGGAGCAATGGATCCAAACTACAAGAAAGAAGATTCCACCTAAACATTAGGAAGAACTTCCTGACAGTAAGAGCTGTTCGACAGTGGAATTTGCTGCCAAGGAGTGTGGTGGAGTCTCCTTCTTTGGAGGTCTTTAAGCAGAGGCTTGACAACCATATGTCAGGAGTGCTCTGATGGTGTTCCTGCTTGGCAGGGGGTTGGACTCGATGGCCCTTGTGGTCTCTTCCAACTCTATGATTCTATGATTCTATGATTCTATGATTCATCCAATCTCTTATTGGGTGCATGGATGGAAAGAGAGAAGTGTACATTGTTGTGCTGCAGAAACAAGTTAGTATGATGCTGCCTATATTCTCCAAGGTCCTTATTATTATTCTTTGGCAATCCCTCGTAGCCTAGTAAGATTGTCTTCCATGAACATGGTCTTAACAGTGAGTCTGTAAGTGACTGTGGAGGCCAATTCTGGATCCACACGTCCTTCCACAGTGGGGACATTGGTTTCCCGATGGGAGTAGATCATGGTGAGGGTTTGGCAAGCATGCCTTCCTCTTAGCACATTTCCCCCTTTTCGTCCTGAGTTTGAGCATCTTCAAAGCCCATGACACCTTTGGTAAAGGCTGTTCTCCAATTGGCTCACAGGCCAGTGTTTCCCAGTTGTCGGTTTATACTACATTATGTTTAGATTTCCCTTGAGAGAGTCTTTAAACCTCTTTTGTTGACCACCAGCATTATGCTTTCCATTTTCACGTTTGGAATAGAGTAGTTGCTTTGGAAGACGATAATCAGGCTTCTGTACAACATGACCAGTCCAACGAAGTTGACATTGAAGAACCATTGCTTCAACACTGGTGATCTTTGCTTCTTCCAGTATGCTGGCAGTAATACGCCTGTCTTCCCAAGTAATGTGTAGATCTCCAACATCCACCTTTATGCAGTCAAAACAGCAACATCCACACACACACACACACCACACATACACACAGAAATATCAACAGGCTTCTGGAGAACACCGAAGTCTGCAAAAGTACAAAAACCCAGGAGAATCATAACAGATGGTCATCCTCTATTTAAAAACCTGCAATGAAGGCGAGTCCACCACCTTCTGAGGTAGTCCATTCCTCTGTGGAACAGCTCTTACCATAAGAAAGTTCTTCCTGCTGTTTAGTCAGAATCTCCCTTCTTGTCATTTGAATCCATAGACTTGGGTCCTACTCTCTGGAACAGCGGAAAACTGTTAGAATTCCTGCTCCATGATTGCAGTCATAGGATTGTTGTCTTTCACATGAAGCTGTATGTTTTGACTCCACAGAGTGGGAAGTGATGGAGACAGGAAGGTTGTGTTACTGTGTTCCATGAAGTGGGACTATTGTCCTTTGTTTTTTCTCTTTGCTATCTGATGCTAGAGAGAGAGGGAGCCATGTTGCAGCGCTCCGTGTGTGTTTATATGTAAATAAAGTAGAGTAGCCAAAATGCTGAGCTGCTGAGGTCTGTCATGTGAAATGCGCAAACTCTGCGGATCCCTAAGTGTGCCGGTGTCTGTTGGCATCGGTCGCTGTGATGTTCAGGCTGAAGAGAGCTTTTGAAGCTCCCAAACGATTGACCAGGAGGGGAGAACATGCCAGTCAGGCATATGTCTCCGCCAGGGTCCTACACGAGTGTAGGCTGAACTCCTGACAAAAACAAGCTTGGTCCATTTTCCATCTGAGAACCGATGCAGTTGCGGGGCGGGCGAGGAAGAAAGGCATGGAGCTACACAACCTTGTGTTGCAGTTCCCAGATGTCAAACTGATTAATCAATTGAATGCTGAAGCCTGTTTTCTCCTCCAGCATTTTGATATGTATTTGGCCACGATGGAATTGTGAAAAAGGAATGTGATTCATAAGAGCATAAACAGATGTGCTCCCTCTGAAAAAGGTTGGTCTGGACCATCTTCAAGATAATCAGATATTTGCCGAGGATTTGACATCTTTATTTGGCCCCAGTGTCTTGACCTGTTACAAACTTGTAAAAAAAACAGGCAGCTCGCCCACTCTATTCCCTTCTGTTTTAGGGAAAAAATCCTCATCTACTTTGAAAAAAAAAAAGAGGACCAGAGTCCTTTAGATTTAGGTCCTCCATATATCTGGTTTGTATTTATAGTGAAAGCATTCTGTATACAGTGGTACCTCGGGTTAAGAACTTAATTCGTTCCAGAGGTCCATTCTTAACCTGAAACTGTTCTTAACCTGAGGTACCACTTTAGCTAATGGGGCCTCCTGCTGCCGCCGCGCCGCCAGAGCATGATTTCTGTTCTCATCCTGAAGCAAAGTTCTTAACCTGAGGTATTATTTCTGGGTTAGTGGAGTCTGTAACCTGAAGTGTCTGTAACCCGAGGTACCACTGTACTACTAATTACAATATTATTAATAAAATTTTATTTATATCCCGCCCTCCCCAGCTGAAGCTGGGCTCAGAGTGGCTAACAACAATAAAATAATATAGCATTCTAAAATCAATTCATTATAAAATCAGTTCAAATCAAATTAATGGCAACCATTGGGCTAGGGTTCTGTGAAGAATTACCAAAGGCTATGCCATAGCCAAAGGCCTGGTGGAACAGCTCTGTCTTGCAGGCCCTGCGGAAAGATGTCAAGTCCCGCAGGGCCCTAGTCTCTTGTGACAGGACATTCCACCAGATCGGAGCCACAGCCGAAAAAGCCCTGGCTCTGGTTGAGGCCAGCCTAACCCCCCTGTGGCCCGGTAAATAATAAATGATAATAACTGATGAAAAGCCCTTCAATAATTCTTCCCCATATCTGGAATCTCAAGTCAATTGTGGATGCTGGGGAATTTCGATTCATTTCACAATCAAAGGCAAACCTGCCTAATTCACACTTTCTGAAAGGATACATGAACTGAATCATAGCCACCCTTCCAATACCACACTTCTCTGAATTTTGCAATGCACTTCTATAGCCAAGGATAGTGTGTAAAGTTGCAGATGCTGATGTAAAGTAAGTATAAAATTGCAAATATTAATGAAGATACCATACAAATATCTGTTATATTTGGGGACATTGCTTTGCAAAAATGCATTATGTTAAGCCAAAATCGCCCCCCCCCAACCTCTGGGAAATCGCTGATGGTCTCACATGACAATTTAATTATTTTTCCATAATGTGCTGTGCTGGATCCTGCATTTTTGTGTGTGTGACAATTTGCATTCCAAAAGCTCAAATTGCCATGCAATAAAATACAATGAAATGAAATGCATACTTGAGCATGTGCAGAGCGTCTTCGTGAATCGCTGAACAGCTTCGTGACTCCATCTCATCACATACACCTCCTCTGA